CTGTCGTTATTGTCGTGAAAATCAGATTATCTGGCTTAATATTTTGCTCAAATTGTTCTAGTTGGGTGCCTGGTTTTAGTGTCGTCCTCCCCCGAAAACGGGTTTATGTTGTTCTGCAGGTTGCCTCCTGGTTAAGTCCCATTTTCTTTCTCCCACTTCCCTTCAGTGTATGGTTGGACTCGATGAACTTAAAACTCTTTCAACCTAAATGATTCTGTGATTCTGTAAACCAAGTGTGATCAAATGCTGATAAGAAATACATATCTCAAATGCAGTGAGCTCGTCTTGATTTTAGATGGGGTATTAGTTGGGCAGGGAAGAGAAGGGGAATTGCTGAAGGAAATTAAGGGAGCTCTTCTGAGCTGGCAGCTCCCTTCTTGCCTGTCAGTGTGTATCCAGACTGGCTCTGTTTGTACTGCCCTTCACCTGGTCTGATGTGTATTCAGGAATGAAGAGGTTCAGGCTGTGGAACAGAAACTTGCAGGAAACAAAGAGGTTTTAATTTCAAGAATCGATTAGGAACTTGCTTCCTAAACAATAAGTTTTTCTGGGAGTGAATTTGAGCCCTGTTGGATGTTTTATGGGCAGTGTTTAGTAAGAAGGCTGTGTTGCTTGCTCTTTCATTGTGGTTGAACTTTAATCTATTTCTGAAGCTGAAGGCATCTCTGGAGCCCAGGCACTACATCCAACATCATCTGACACTGTTGTGCAACTGTAAACAGTGCAACCACTGCTTTAATGCCAACTCATTTTGGGTAGACACCATAAAACAATTGTGGTGTAGTTGTTAAACTTGTTACTCCTATTAAAACAAAGAAGAACTTATTGTAGGAGTAACAGGAAATTTTTTCACTCTGAAGCTGCAGCATTAGTTGGTGGGAGTCCTTTATATTTAAGCAAGTTTTAGCAACCTACAAGTTGCAGGATAAAATAACTTTTAAGAATAATTTGAAGTCTAAGTCTGCGTGCAGTGTAGTGGAGTCTTGGTTTTGCAGTTGGTTAAGGAGGGATTTGCAGTGGGAAAGTGTACCTGGCAAACAAGAAGTCTGTTGTAACTGCCCCTCTGCAAATACACCATGAATAACAGGATTTAGTGTCCTCTGTATAATATTTTACTCAGGAGTAGTTTGACACCAGCAGTTGGTTGAATGCTTCGTGTCTGGAATCTGTAACTTTCCAGTGAACCAGGGAGCTCCTTGGGAGGGCTTAATGAAAGCATTGTGACTTTATTTTTTTTTAAATAAAATTAAAATATGTTTTGGCATGCCGAAATAAAAAGCAGCTGTGGTTCAGCTGTTTAAATTATGATGTCTGCTGAAAGTCTAAAACGTGTTCTTCCTTTTTAAGGTGCCTCCTGGTTTGAGTCTGGAAGTGATGTGCTGTAAACCAGTTTGCTGGTTTGTTTTAGGATTAAAAAACTATTGGCTATTTTTAAACTCCTTCTACATCTTTTTTACCTTCCTTTGGATAGAGAAGAGGGATGATGGACCCTGCAGGTGGTATCAGAGCATATCAGATTGTCCTTCCTCCAGAGAACTTCTCTGTAGGCCTCAGCAAATTCTGTGGGAGAAAGTTTGATGATGGAGAAAATACTACTCACGTATGATTCTAAATCCATCATAAATCCACAGAGGAAGGGAGGACATGTCTAAAGTCCTAAGGCTGGCCAATATACTTGCTGAATTTTTCAGGGGTGCTTTGACATAGTAATCTAAAAAGAATGTGCTTCCAAGCTGTAATTCCTGCCCTGGTCAAGACTTCTCTTCTGAAGCTGCTTCTCTTTTGGTTTCTGGGTATGAATTCTAAAAGGTGAAATATGCCCTGTTCATAATGACATTTTTTTGGTCTATCAAGTAAATGCCTTGCAATAATTTTCACTTATAACAGAAGTATGGCAGGAGAAAGTAGTGTCTTGTGTTTCATATTGACTGTTTCTCATCCTTTTCACAGATTCTATGAAAGTGGAGACGCTTCAGAATAATATTTCTTCTAAAAGTGAGAATGAAACACTAAGTAGTTCCCAAAATTTGACAGACAGCTCACAGAGTATAACCCCACTGAAAAAGGAGGCGTTCCCCACAGCAGCTAAAACCAGCTCAGTGACAGAAGCCAAACCACCTCCAGCAAAAGAGGATTCCCCAGCAGGCGTTTTCCCTGCTCCTGCCACAGCCAGTCCAGCGCCTCAGGTGGATGTGGATGCTTCTGAAGATACTAAAATTGAGGAAGAGGATCTCCTAACGGATTTGAAAGACACACTGAATAGTTCACCACCCCTCCTAAAAGAAACTCTGGAGTCAGATGGAGATGGCTACGGTGCTTATGAGATGACACCCATTTCCAGGTACAACTCAGACCTTCTAGAGCTGCCAGAGGATGGTGACTCTGACACCATTAGTAATTACAACGAGGAGATCAAGACCCTTAATGAGAAGATAAAAGATGTTTCTGTCACGGGGTTGGAAGAAGAGGAAGACAGCCATTTCTTTTTTCACCTGGTTGTAGTTGCCTTCTTAGTAGCTGTTGTTTATGTCACCTATCACAACAAGAGGAAGGTGAGTGTTCTGTGGGAGCTGGAGGAAGTGGCTTTAGCATTGAAAGTGGAGTTGCATTGCTTTGTATGCTTTTTTAATTAGCTTTTTGGGGGAATGAACCCTTCCACCACTTACTCATGTGCACTAATATGCAGATCATGACTCATTTTTACCTGGACAACGAAAATGAACTTGAATGAAATGCTTTAGATTAGAAAATCAATGAGTTGATGATGCCACTAATCAATCAGTTCAGAAGTGGCCACTGGCAGTGTACAGTATGAGTTCTGTACAGGAGACCTTAGCCAAGTCAAGTGAAGGTGATTCATTTTGTTTCTGCACAGGATTATAAACAGCAAATTAAGGAAGGTTCAATCCCAAGTAGCATGGCATAAAATAACTGTGATAACCCTAGTCATAAGTATTCACTTTAAGGTGGTCTTTATGTCAGAGATATTCTGGGGGCTTAACTACAAACTTCTGGGAAATGTTTTCATGCTCTTCCCAGTTTTACATAGAAAAGCTCAAAGTTGTGGTTTTCAGGTAACTGTTTCATCAGTATAAATTAATTTTCTCTCTCAAAAATAGCCCAATTAGTGTTACTTCAAAATACTTTACTAGCATAGAAAATTAACTACAGACCAAGTACAGATGGCTGCTTTTTCTTTCAGATCTTCCTGCTGGTGCAGAGCAGAAGATGGAGGGATGGCCTGTGCTCCAGGACAGTGGAATACCATCGTTTAGATCAGAATGTTAACGAGGCAATGCCTTCCCTCAAAATCACTAATGACTACGTGTTTTGAAAGCACTGGGGTTTGAGTTGGCTCAACTTCTCTACAGATGGATGCACAAATTTTCAATTAAATCATAGCTTATTTTTTAGATGTGAGAAACATTTAGTGTTGATCTGTGTGGAGAACACTTGATTTGGTTGAGGATTTGGGGGACTCTGAAAAAAAAACCCAACAAACTGATGGGCTGCTTTTTGTTTCAGATCTTCCTGCTGGTGCAGAGCAGAAGATGGAGGGATGGCCTGTGCTCCAGGACAGTGGAATACCATCGTTTAGATCAGAATGTTAACGAGGCAATGCCTTCCCTCAAAATCACTAATGACTACGTGTTTTGAAAGCACTGGGGTTTGAGCTGGCCCAACTTCTCACTCTTTGCCTGCCTGGTCATGTAATGATATTCAGGTATTCTAACTATGCTGCTTGGCCTGAAATGAGATGTACTCTCCTCGACCTGGATGCTTTTGAGGTTAAATCTCATGGAAGATCAAGGGCATGATCCATCTGTTTGCTGCTTGGGTCAGGTTTTCTATTGACTCTAAAGATAAGGAGTTTAATAATAATTAGTGCTCTTTCCATTCGTTAAGCTTCATCCCTTCTGTCTGGAGCAGTCTAAATAATGGTAATACAAAAAAAAATAAGCATTAAATATTTAAAGGTCTAATAAATTAATGACTTTGGCATCACTAAATCAAATTAATGATCTCTTTTCTGATCACTTACATGGCTTGTAAATCCCACTGTATTGCAAACTTAAAATAGAATTACTCTTTTCCTGTGCTTGAATCCTGATGCTGCAAATCTTTCATCTAGGGTTTGGTTGGTTTTTTTTTAGGTTGCATAATTTGATCTCTTTTAGTCAAAATGGCCAGCATAGCAATTGCCTAATTTTTTTATCCATGTTCATGCAGTAAATAATTTAACAGTAATTATGTATGAACGATTTTATTTCAGATGTTCAATGTTCCCTTAAAATGTTGAAAATCTTTGTGAAGGTCTGCAGCTTCTTGACTGTCCAGATTTTTCCTCTGTTTTTATTCATGCCTATTTCATTATCTTTGTAATTAATGAGTGGAAAATGAGCCTCGTTGAATAACCTTACTAAAACATAGCTAGCTGACAGCCTTTCAGTACATCAGAGCTTTCTGCTGAATTTTAAGACAGCTGGGAAACAGTTACATGGTTTGCTGTATTATAAATAAGAGAGGCCTGAAAAAATGTAAGAATATTTTGTTTTGTTGTTATTTTGACCCAGATAAGAGGCAGATGAAGGTAAAGGTGTGTGGTGCTGCCAGGCTGTGGACAGGGCACTCTGATTTTTGACA